AAACAAACAAACAAACAAAAACAACACTCAACCGATTGACCCATCCTGGGTACTTTGTATGAATGGAATACTCCATAATCTAGTTGTATCCTTCTTCCTTCCCTTAGCATGGCTCAGCCACCTGTCAGTCACAACCAAGCAAGTTTCCCTCCACCTCCCTTGGTCATCTGCACTCAGCAGATCTTGGAGGAAGTGAGTCTCACAGAAACGGGTTTCTAACTCCCACCGGTCAGAGGGCCCAGAGGTCTCCTGGGGTAACACTGGGAGCAGATAGTATCTTAAAGACTCAGGCAGGAAAAGAGTGGTTAGTCAGGACACATTTTAGTATATCGCTGCACTAAATTTGCTATAAGCACACAGACTTCAATGGTTTGTATATGGATGTTTTAACTAATGTCTTCATTTACTAATGCTATCATTTGCGCTGCCTTGCTGGGTATATCATTTTCATTCTTTATCATGCTGTATTTAAGGCCGTGTTCTGAAAGTGAGGGAATTTCTTCTGGAACTAGAACCTTGCCTCTCTTAGGTTTTCGGATTGAGCAGTTCCCAGACGGAGTTACTGTGGCAGCAATTCTACATTGCCACTAGGTGGCGCTCATGCGCTATACTGCAAGTGGCTCCGACGCTGCAAAAGTGTTTGGCAAACCCAATTGCTGACTTCCTTGGGTGTAAACTCAGAGACTGGTCCCTGTGAGCTGCACGTGTCTCTTGGGTTATAGATTGTTTCAGCCCCCTTCTCTTTCTTTAACTACCTTAAAATTTTTTCTTTTGACTACAGTCTCTAGGCTAAGCAAAAGCTATAGGGTTAGCTCAAGTGCAGAGACTACCTCTTCATCGACCGCTCCAAGGCCTTGGGTTAAGTCACTTAGCTTCAGTTTTCACGGCCATAAAATAAGATGGATAGTGCGCTGCAGTCTAGTAGGGTGGCCTAGGGACAGAGCAGCTCTGCGTGAAAACGCAAAGTGTGTGTGTTTGCATTTGCTGTTTTGTTATTTCTTACGGCCTCTCCTACACGCGGGTTCAAGGGGCCGCACTGCCGGAGCTGCCCAAGGTTCTTGGTGTGAAGACTTCTGAGCTCTCCATACAGAGTTTCCACCTCTGCCCTTTTGGTGTGCACTCAGGGACCGGATGTTCCGCTGGGGTGGGGTGGGGGGCGGGGACAGAAGCTACCAGTTGACTGCTGATCCGGAGACTTCCCAGTCTCTGCTCTTCCTAGGTTACCTTTCTGGTATTTAGCCACACACAAACAAGAGCTGCCACACCCTCCACCCGGACAGTGGCGCTGCCCAACCGTGAGGCTTTGATGAACAGTGGTTTGCAGATGACTGTTTCCTCAGTGGCTATGGTTAGGTGTTCCGTGTTTTCCAGGGCCCACCAGCATATGCTGGGAGTCTTTTTTTTTAATGCTGTATAGTTCTTTGGCGCAACTTTCCAATTTCCATGATCTTCCACAGACCACCCACTTACCGTGTTTGTGTCTCTCATGCCTGCTGATTTTAGAAAGAAAGGAAGCACTGTCTCTGCTCGTGTTTGTTTGAACATGTGTGTGTAGGAAATCGCCTACAGAATTCTAGAGTTTGTTTGAACATGCGTGTGTAGAAAATCACATGCAGTACTCTAGAGTTTGTTTGAACATACGTGTATAGGAAATCGCCTGCAGTACTCTAGAGTTTGTTTGAGCATGTGTATGTAGGAAATGTCTGCAGTACTCCAGAGTAGCACCAGGCGGGCCGTTCTCTCCTCTCCCTCACTGCTGCATGGGAATCACATTTCTTGGCTGTGGCAATCCTAATGTAGTCCCCTCAACCCCACAGTTCTTGTTTTGGTTTCAATGGGACTCTTTCCCGATCACGAGGGCTGCTGGGTCAGAAGGGCCAGACTGTTAGAGCCGCTTGCCTGGGCCTTTGGTAGAACCTTCCTAACCTTTTGTCTTCCGTCCAAACTGGCGTCCTCTGTATTGATGGTTATAGGCTTTGAAAAGTCTTCCCTCCTAGGAAGTAATATCTCTCAGACCCCAAAGGAATTGACTAGGTGTGGGGCATTCTCTGTTTAGGAGGGGCTAGAGACAGGAATTAGTTCTTTTCCCTGGCTAGGTTGCCCTGGAATGCCCCAGATCTAGACCTTTACAAGTGACAGGCAGGGCTCGAATCCCCCGTGACATGACTGCCCACTCTTTAATTGCACGCGGGTAACTTCTGAGGCCCCAAGCATCTTTCCACTTCTTGCTCCTCAAGACTGACTCACATGATGCTTTCACCAGCCTGACGTCCTTCAGTGGTCCAGCTGGGCCTTGTCTCCTCAGACTGTGTTATGACAGAGAGGGGCCAACGCTGTAAGGGAATACCATTGTCTCTTCTGGGCAAACATGGCCATCCCCTGAGCCTTGAGTTTTGGCAGAGATGAAAAGAACTCACTTTGCAGATCAAAGGCTGCGCGCCAGGTACCTGAGCCTGTGATTTAGTGATGATTCAGCACCTGGCAGGAGGCCTCCCAGCAGCTGGGAGGACAGCATATGACAACCCCCCCCCGCAGCACCCATTTGCACTCCACAGGGAGTGCGTTGCTTAATCAAGAAGTGATTCCATAGGGACTGCATGTCTGCAGCCTCGATGCTAGGAATTATTCCAAGCTTTACAGGTCCCAAGTCACTGCCCTCGCCCCTGCCCCAGGATGGGGGATCGTTATGGGCTAGCACCTCGCTGATGGGTCTTAGTGGGCACATCAGAGTCCCCAGCGTGGGTGTTTGCCACTATCAAATACGTGTATTGCTTCCAAACATTAGACAACTGGAAATAGGTGCTGGCATTTAACTGGTGGACCCAGCAGGCGCCAGACCTGGTCTTGGATGTGAGTGTTGGCTAAGGAGGCAATGGTAAGTGTGTGTGAGGACAATATGTCAGGTTTCTGGAGTCAGTGCCAAGCGTTTTGAGTCTGAGCATTTATTTAGGTCTAGAAATTGGCCTAAGGACCCTCAAAATGTGACTCTTATTTATAGATAGAGTCTTTTAAAAAAGATAATTACCACTCAGGTAGACCCTTATCTGACACGACCATTGTCTTTAGAAGAGACGACAGCATAGGCACACAGAGATAGGCATGTCACAGGGAAACGCTGCCACCTGGAAGCCAAGGAGATCATAGTAAGTCTTAAGGGGAGCCAGCCCTGCTGATGTCCCGCCAGATGGCTAACTTTGTGCCCATTTAATTGTATTAGTGCATGGCCACGTATCTTGTAAAACCCTCCTACCTGCCTCAGTAGGAGGGTAGCAGAGGATAGCCCACACCGATTCCCACAGGCACCACGAGTCCACCGAGGCTGAGACAGATGAAATGGAGACCTGGTGAATCCAATCCATCCCGTGTGTCTGTGATGGGGACATCCTCCTTCGTCTGCTCCCCTGGGACATCGGCTCTTGGTGCTCTGGGTTGTGTGGCAGAAGTCGCCTCCAGCCCCACCCCACGCGGTCCTCAGCCCCTCAGCCTCAGTCTGAGTTAGGCTACCAGCTTTTCTGGGTTTCAGCTCCGGCGGCGGCTGGCTTGTGCAGCCCCTCAGCCACATGTCACGACGCCCAGTCTTCATGGCTGACCTCCTTGGGCACACACCTCTCTGTGTAGACTCTGCCCATCAGAGAACCCTGGCCAATGCACTTGACCTCAGGGTTTGCAGCCCCCAGGACCACGAGACGGTTAAATGGCTTCGCTTACGCTATTTGATCATGACCACGCGTCGGTGCGTGAGCCCAGATGATGCTACCCTGCCAACATTCTTTTTCTGGTGTGTCTTAGTCTGTTTTGTGCTCCTACCCCAGAATACCCGAGACTGTGTGGTTTGTAAAGAACAGAGATAGTTCCGTATCCCCAGAGGCTGGGGTGTCTAAGACCAGGATCTTACATCTGATGGGGGGTGGGCGGTGTTTTTACTTGCGTCATCTCATGGGAAAAGATCAGAGAGGAAGAGAGTGAGCTTGAGTGAGAAGAGATGGCTCAACCCTCTTTCGTCACGAGCCTGCTTCCTTCAGGAAGGTCCCACTCCTGCGAGGATGTCATTATGACACCCATGAAGGCAGAGGCCCAGGACAAACACCTTCAGTCGGTCAGCTTCCTGATGCTGCTGTCTGAAGGATTAGGTCTCTAGAACAGGAACTCTAGGGGATGCTTTCAAACCACAGCAGTGGGCCCCTTCCTGCTTAGGATGAAAGAGTCTTCCCCACGGTGGCCGGGGGACCTCTGGGTCAGGCACGCAGCGCTGGATCAATGGCTGATGGCCTCAGCCTTCCTTTTCTTCTCTCCCAGATATGAGTTGCCCGCAGTAAGTCCCAGGCAGTTCCAATAGCGTTGTCGTTCTTTTCTACAGGTTTTCATCAAACAGCTGTGTAGTTTTGTCTCTGATGGACCACCGTAGCTTGTTCTGGGGAGAGGGCTTTGTGACGGGGTCCTCTCAGTGGCGATTTAAATCTCAAATCCTACTCCTGTTCCCAGAATGTAGACTCTGGTGGCTTAGATCTCTGGGTGTTTTCAGGGTACACGTCTGTGGTCCAGGAAAGAATTCAGCAGGAAGGGACAGAGAAGTTGCCGGAAGGTGCTTTTGCCATACTGTGGGAAGCTCATGTAACCTTCAGTGTCTCCCTGAGCTGGGGCTTGAGGCTCAGGCTGTCACGTACCTGACCTACCAACCAGCCTGTGTCACGGAGAGTTGTGATCTCAGGCAAAGTGGATCCTGCAGGCAGCCTTACTTTAGGAGAGCCATCCCCAGACATCAGTATCCCAGCATCCTTCAGTCCTAAAGCAGGGTCTGGGGAACGCAGGAGGTAGCCACGATTGTAACCCAAAGGTTTACTGGGAGAACTTTGAACCTCATATGGGCCAAGATCAGCTAATGCCCCCACTGGCCCAGGGTGGACAGACAACACCGTGTCACACAGCAGGGATTGCGCTCAGGCACTTCTGTCACCTGGAGGCCCATTTTCCTTCCCTGAATGAAGTCTTTTCTATCCTAGGAGCTTAGAGCGCGCGTCACCATCTCTCCCTCTCGGACTCCAGTCCTCAGGTTTGAATCAGAACCTCCGCCCGCCTGCCGTTGGACTGTCATTGAGCCAGAAAGTGACACTGAGACAACCGAGCTGTCATTTGTGCTTCGGGAGCTGGTGAAGGTGAGTGAGGGGACACACAGACACAGACACAACCGGCTCACACAGGTTTGAACTGTACTCCCCCAACCCCGGCCTCAACCACAACAGAAGCTCGGCTCTGAAAGGCCAGGCCCTCCAAGTGCTATTTGTTTTCATTGAAACTTCATCTCTCGCACTTAACAGCCGTCTAACCAGCAGCGGAATCAATTACCACGTGTCAGCTTGAAATCTGACACAAGAAATGAAGGAAGGACACACAACCTCCCTGGGGGCCGGGCGGCAGAGAGGAGAGGGGGCAGATGGGGGAGGGAGGGGAGGAGAGAGAGAGAGAGAGAGAGAGAGAGAGAGAGAGAGAGAGAGAGAGAGAGAGAGAGAGAGAGAGAGAGAGAGAGAGAGAGAGGGAGACTCAGATGGGAAGCTGTGAACAAGCCAATCAAGGGCTAATCTCCCTCCTTCCTCTCTCCATCCTGAGCCCCATGGCTCTGCATCTCTGGGCCACGGGCTTCTGCTTCCACAGAGTGACCAGCAAGCCTGGGGAGTTACTGGGGCACCGTATGCTAGTTGCTCCATCTAGGAATTGAGGACCTGGAGGTCCTTGACATTCATGGTCTAGGAAGCTTTGTGTGGACAGGTCTTTCAGGCCATCTGGGCTGACAGAACCAAGCTGAATTGCTTCATCCTCAAGGTGCCATGAAGCGTGGTGGTGTCAGCCTCCATTCGTGCGAGTGTCAGAGCGAGGACTCCATGCCTCATGTAAGCAGGTCCCACAGCCTCTGTGGGAGAATCCTGCCAGAAAGATCTTAGTCGGGTCCCGTTTCCCCGTTTTTGTAAAGGTTTTAAGTTGACTGGGGAGAGAGCTCGGTTTGAGAAATGCTTGCTTAGGAAGGGTGAATACCTGAGTTCAAATTCCCAAAACTCACATTAAAATCTCAGGCCTGGCGCTTGGAACCCCTTCTAATCTCAGGGCTCTGGAGATGGAGGTTGGTGGGTCCCTGGGATTCTCTGGTCAGCCAGCCTAGCTTTATCAGCACGCTCCAGGTTCAATGAGAGACCCTGCCTCAGAAAACAAGGTGGAGAAGGATTGAACCAACACACACACAATACCAAGTAACTCAGAACAGTCGCTAACCTGATCTCAATGATGCATTTTACCTGATTCATTTTTCTTGCGAAACCTCCCATGGGTTCATTTCCTGCAGGGATGTGTCCTCCCCTCTGAGTGTGACATCTGGAGCCCTCAATAGCCTGATTCCCAAGCTTCCGTAACCGTAGACCCGGCCCCTTCCAGTCCCCAGGCTGCCTGAGAGCGAGTCACTGGATTTCATGTGCATGTGTGCTGTTCCGGGCAGGGTCTCACACCTTGTGTTGAAATCTTTTTGTTCCTCACCTAGACTCTCCAGGCCCCACTGGGAGTCACCGATGTGGACTGTCCATGCTCCATTCACCAGACTTGCCGGTTTGTGACAGTCAGCACAGCTTTGGGGACACTTAGGCATCTCTCTGCTTCAAACTGTTTTTAGGGACGTGCTGACGTGTGCATTTCTCAGTGCTTTTGTTCAGTGGCCTCGTGTTTAGCCCACTGTCGCCAGGAGAAGGTGAAGTCTCCGCTTACATTATTTCAGGAGTGGGCTCTTTTTCTTGGATTGTGGCATCGTCTTCCTTGCCTAGTGCTGCTTTTAAAATTCCGGATGAACATTTTGAACGCACCATCTTTTTCAAAAAACCACGAGTGCCAGCATTATCTGCTTTGGAAACACACACCATCACACCACCTTGCCTGACATGTTTCTGAAATGTTCATTTCACAACAGTGACCACAAGGACTTAGGTTGTGTGCCTCTGCTGCAACAGGGGTGCAGACAAAGCTGGAATCAACTGGTTTTTCAAGATTTGTTCAGGCACCCCCCCACTCCCTCCCCTCCCAAGGAATTCACCTTGTTTTTCTTTTACAGTGACCTCTGAGGCTCAGGGAATAGATTGTTGGAAATGAATGGCCTAAAACGTATCTAGCTACATAATAAATGGATGTTGGGGAAGATGCATGTGTGCACGCGTGCTCGCACACACACACACACACACACACACACGAATGAGAACATATGGACAGCAGATGATTTTCAAATGTAACTTACATACTCATCAGATCTTTTGTAGCAAAATCCCCCACTAGGCTCATTGTCTTGCAGTTTGAAATGCAAGAAGCTGGATGCTGGGTTTGCATCTCGGGATCCTGAAATCTAACTCGAATCCCTTTGAAGTCTTCTGTTTTGATTGATGAATCATCTCAACGTTCTGATAAATTCAAAGGGCCCCAATAAAAGACAAAAATCAAATGACTTACCGATCAACGGTGCCAGACAAGACTGTGAACCAGGAGAAAACGTGACACGGGCAGCCATAAACTGACTTAAAAACCTGTATCAATCACTACGAGTTTCAAAAGAGCTTGCAGACGTTTAAAGCGAAACAGTAGAGGTATTTTTGGGAACCATTGGGAAAACATTAAAATGCTATTGGTATGAGAAATAAATTCCAGTGTGTACCTTTCTGAAGTCAAGGTTTTATGACACAATCTGGCTCCTCAGGGAAGGGGCACCTGCTGGTTTTGCGCAGAGATCCCTGGGCTCTGGTTTCCAAAGTTATGCTGGCCCCTGATAGAGCCAGATCCCCCTCCCAGGACATTTGGGAAGGGTCTCAGCCATGGACTGAGATGCTATGGTTTTGGAAAGGATGGCTGAGGTGAGAGCCGGCCTCCATTACCGTCTCAGCACCTCATGTGACCGAGGCCGCAGGGTCAGAGAGCACAAGACTGAGATGTCATCATCTCCAGGCAGGGGGCATCAAATAATTTCACGGCGGAAGCTCACTAGCTGCTTAGTTGCACACTTTACCTCCTTCGACTAAACGCCCACAGAAGGACCTTAGGGAAGGGAGGATTTCTTCCTGGATTGGAAGAAAATGACCCATCTTGTTAGAGAAAGCAGAGCGGAATTCGTGGCAGCAGCAGGGCGTGGCTGCCTCTCCTTACCTCTGTGTGGGTCATGAGGCAGAAGGGGGATGGGAAGGAGCCCAGGGAGGGCTAGAACTCATAGGACCCGCTCCCAGTGACCCATTTCACCCGACAAGGCCTTACCCCAAATGCCCCACCTCTCCCTACACAGTCTACGGCTTGAGTGTTCAAACACTCGTGTCTACAGGGGGCACACTTTACACTTAAATCCTAATACCAGTCTTTTTGTCCCCCCTGGGGTCTGGGAGTATGCAATGGTTATTTAGAGGCAGCCCGGCAGGTTAGTTGATAGAAATAGTAAGACTATCTAGGGTGAGCACTAAAGAAATTTTGACAAGGAAAATCAGTATTTCAAGGGATGAAGTTTGTTGCTGGAGTTTCTTGTCCCACCTCGTTCTGCCGCCCTTCATCCCCAAATAAACACGCGGGTGCTATATTAGTTATTAAACTGTTGGCCAAAGGCTAGGGCTTCTTACTGGCTAGCTCTCTCTTAATCGTCAACCCATAACTACTAATCTATGTATTTCTACATTGCCTTATCTTACCAGAGAATGCCTGGTGCATCCTATCTTCCAGGTCTCTACATGATGTCTCTTCCTGGCAGCCTCCCTTTCCTCCCTCTCTACCCAGCATTCTCCTTGTCTGGTAGACCCGCCTATACTTCCTGCTTGGCTGTTGGACAATCAGTGTTTTATTCATCATCCAATAAGAGAAACATATACACAGAAGGACATCCCCCGTCAGAAATTTTATTTCATGTCATTTCTCGTGTGTGTGTGTGTGTGTGTTTGTGTGTGTGTGTATACTTGTTCATGCGTTTGTATGTGTGTGCCTGTGGCTGTACACATGTGTCTATAGGGCAGAGGACAGCCTAGGGCGCTGCTCCTCAGGTGCCTCCCACTTTTTGTTTGAGAGGAAGACTCTCACATTGTCTAGATGAGCTGATCAACAGGCTCCCGGGGCTCCACCTGCTTCCACCCCCCTTCTCTTCACCACAACGAGACTATAAGTGTGGACTTCCTGTGAGGATTATGTAGATGACCCAGGCATCCCCAGCTTGTGAGCACTTCAGCGAAACTCTTAGAGTTTAACTTATGTGTGAGGATGTGTGTCTGCATGTGCCTGCAGGTGTTCTTGGAGGCCAGATGGCTAGACACCTACAGCTGGAGTTATGTACAGATGGGTGAGCCACTTGGTGTGGGTGCTGGGACCTGAACTCAGGTCCTCTGGAAGAGCAGCAAGTGCTCTTAACCACTGAGACGTCTCTCCAGCCCCCAGGTCTGTGCTGTGAGTACGTGAGATTTGGGTGTGGTCAGTGCTGCGGGCACGTGAGATCTCTCCCTACACCCAGGTATGTGATTATATATACAAAAGGCAAGTCTAGCCATATATATATATAATGTATATATGTATGTATGTGTATGATAGATATTGAGGAAATGGATTCCTCTAGCGCAGAGAAAGATCTGTAAGCTGGAAATCTGGAAAAACTGGTGGTGTAGTTAAGTCCAAGCTCAAAGGCCCGAGAGTCCAGAGGGGGAATGGGTTAACTCAGTTAACAGTTGAAACAGTTGAGGTGAATTTTCCTACTCAAGCAGATGGGTAGGTAGCAAGAAGGAAGAATTCTACCTTTTGACTCATTCATGTCCTAAAGAGATTAGAGTATGCCCACATGCACTGACCCCACAGTCTACTGATATAGACACACATGAGATTTTGTTTAATGAGTGTGACTCACAGACACATTAGACACTCATCATACCACAGCACAGAAGCCATTGATGTAGGGTCTACAGATGAACAGCGTTGGGTAAGAACAATTTCCTTAGGAAAGAGTCTCGATCTGAGACTCAGTCTCATACCATCCACAAGAGGACATGTGGGATAGCCATCACAGTTCATCTATAACTCCTGTGCCAGCCCAAAAGAAAAGGCACCAGGAGTTATTTAAGTGAAACACTTCAGCCTGTCCCCTCAGTGTCCTGGGGTCAGTGACTTGCCATCCCTCATCTATAGAGCCTCACTGTGCAGCTTACCCAACTGGTCTTGAACTTCATTTCATCTTCCTCTCTTCTGAGACTGTGGGTGAGTCTTGAGTTCATTGAGGAAACTTGTCAGGGCCCATAGAGATGACTCCACTTCATCTTGACTTAAGGTCAGAGAGTTCAAACCTACTATTGCTCTCTCCAAGTTAAACAACAGGATAGTTGGCCTAAGAAGTTACAAATGGAGGTCTTACTTTAACAACAGGATATTAGCCTAAGGTGTGGCTACTGTCTATGTTGCCTTGACAATAGGATACTTGGTTTGAGGTGTGGTTACTTGAGCTTTTGGGTATTGAGAAGGTAATTATGCTTGCTCTTTTGCTCTTTGTATCTTGGTGAGGAAGTCTCTTTGCCTTCCCCCACTTTTGATTGGGGTATATAAAGACTCTGTATAATAAACTCAGGGATTTTTTCCCCCAGTGTTCACTGGAGTGCCCTCCTAATTCTATCCTATGTCTTTGTCCTATGCCTTTGTCTTTATTATCCATAATTTTATGACCTGTAATTTCTTAATCCACACTCCCCCTCTCAGGCACAAACATGGGCACCACAGATGTCTCTCAATGTAGGGCTACAACAGTAACCCTTCCTTGGTCCCTGGTTTATACACCAGTTTCTCCGAAGGGACTGTAGCCTTGAGTCTTGAATCCTTATGTCCCCATTGACTCTTGGATCCTGCCACTGGCTGGATTCCAGGATCAGTCCCAAGTCAGGAGATGTGGGTTTCTTTCCGCTTTCCACACAGTTCTCAGCACTCAGTATGTGGCCACAATTCTTGCACCCTCTACACAGGTGAGCTGGTCATTCAACTTTAAATGTGTTACTCAGAGTAAAATAATCTGAGTTTCCCAACAAGTACAAGAAGAATGTTTTCCTTGTGCATTTAGAGGTGAAGTCTAGTCTCTCTGGGTGACCTAGCTTTGGGGGGGTCTTACTATGTGATTTTATAATTGTGGTGGTATTGACTCTAGGCATTTTGTGCCCAAAAGCCTTCCACTGTGTTTGTAGATGTAAAGTCTCTTGCCAGGAGTTCCCGCCAATAACTTTTCTGAGTATATATATTTTTTCTTCCTCCAAGGGATATTTTGCATAAGTGATGGAAAAGGAGACAGCCAATTTCAAATTCTCATGCATTTGTCAGTCTTAACAAGTGGCATAGCTGCTCTCCTCATTCACACCTCATGGATAGAGAAGGCAGCGATGTCAATGCCTGAGCTTCCCGAGAAGAGAAAGTGGGGGAAGAGGGACTCTTCAGGTTGATGCAGAAATGAAAGGGAATGGTGACGGAACATTCTGGAAATAGTCTAGGGGACAGTGAATTCTTATTATTCTCTTCTCACTGGAGTTGTCCCCATCATTCCTTGGAAGAAAACCCAGGCTAAGCCAGACCAAATCCCAGCTACAGCTTGGAGCTAGGAGCTGGGTTTGAAGACACACCCCAGTCGTGGATCCGTTGGCCTTAGCTGCTAAGAGAGGGAAAGACCGTTTTCTCTAAGAGCGTAGTTTCCAGTAAGTTGACCACACTCCACTGGAAGACAGAATATCTAGAAATATTTGCGCAGTATAGCTGCTTGATCTTTCCAGGTTTAAAAAGAAACAAGGTCGGGTGGGCAGGAGAGTGTCGATCAATCTGGGAACAGCTGGGGGAGGAGAGGAGAATATGATCAAAACACGCTAGGCATAATCAGAGAACTAATACTGAAGAAAACGATGAAGTTGGTAGGCAGGGGGCATGGTAGGGATAAGGGAGCAGGGACAGTGGGTGCGGTAGGGATGAGGGTGCAGGGACAGTAAACTAAGGGATGATGAAGTTGGTAGGCAGGGGCGCGGTAGGCATGAGGGAGCAGGGACAGTGGGCGCGGTAGGCATGAGGGAGCAGGGACAGTGGGCGCGGTAGGGATGAGGGAGCAGGGACAGTGGGCGCGGTAGGCATGAGGGTGCAGGGACAGTAAACTAAGGGATGATGAATTTGGTAGGCAGGGGCGCGGTAGGCATGAGGGAGCAGGGACAGTGGGCGCGGTAGGCATGAGGGAGCAGGGGCAGTAAACCATGCGATGTCACTTTGCAACCCATCTCACTCTAGTTCCCATAACTCCTTTTGTCTTGTGCCCGAAGTCCAGAACCCAGGGCTCAGAGATTTAGTCGGGTGGGTATCCCGAGACCATCCCTCTCACGAGCAAGCGTCCTCTGTGGACTCCATGGCGGGGTTTACGGTGCCTTAGGGAAGAAGATGAACTAGGGTGTCTGATGAGTGATTCAAAGACGGTTGGGTTATTAACACCGCCTACAACTTTAGCCATTTTTTTTTCTTTTTGGTGTGGGATGGGAGACCACAATGATGATTGTCTTTTAAGTTTTTTTTGTGTGTACATATTTATTTATGGATGGCCACGTGTGTGAGTGCAGGTGTGAGCATGCCCCGTTGTGAACCTGCAGTTCAGAAGACAACCCTGGGTATCAGTTCTTACCTTCTACCTTCTTTGAGGCAGGGTCTCTTTTTTTGTACCAGGCTAGGTGTCCATGAGCTTCCAGGCTGTTTTAGTGACTGGTGTATCGTTCTGAAGAGACCCCCTGGCTAAGGCAACTCTTACGAAGAAAGCATTTAACCGGGGACTCCCTCACAGTTTCAGAAGTTTAGTTCATTGTCATCACGTCCTGGAGTGTGGCAGCATATATGACGCTGGAGCGGTTACTGAGAGCTTCACCCTGACCCACAGGCCAGGAGAAAGACACTGGGTTTGTCGTGGGCTTTTGAAACCCGGAAGCCCATCCCCGGTGACACACTTCCGACATGGCCACACCGCCTATCCTTCTCAAGTAGGGCCACTTCCTGATGGCTGAGCATAGGAGGCTATGGGGGCATTCTTACCCAGACCACCACACAGTGATTCCGCTCTCCACCCCCATCCCTGACCCTTTCTCCAAACTCAGCTTAGGAGTGCTAGCACTACAGATGTGTGCTGCCATATCGCCCTTGTATGTAGCTTCTGGGGATCTGAACTCAGGACCTCATGTTTGCATGACCAGCGCTTCACCTACAGAACCACCTCCCCAGCCCAAGGCCTTCCCATCTTTATTGCAATGGGCTGGTGCCAGGACGTGGTAGGAGGAGTTTACATTGAGAACTGGATGGGTACATGGGACTGGATAAGACTTGACGATTTGTTACTTGTAATCCCACAGGCTGCTCCAAAAGCAGGCTCTTTCCCAGCGCCTTCCTGCCTAATGAAAACCGTGTGGCATCTGAAATTGCATTTATCTTTCCAACTTCCTTCCTAAGCCTTGCTTCACATAGTCTGGTACTTCATTAGTAATGATTTTACTGACAGTTCCCTCAAACAGACTCTCAGCCCAGGTGGAGGAAGATGGATTTTTAAGTAATCTTTTTTGGCATAAACATACATCATCCAGAGACTAACTATTGCTTTTATTTTTTCATTTGTTTTCTTTGGTGGCATCTGACAGTAGGTTGTCAGGACAAATTAAAGTGGTGACCGAGCAATAATTGCTTAGCGATAGAAGACGATGGGTAAGAATGACTTTTTGAGTCAGTGATGTTCTAGTCTCGGGTCTGAATATTTACGCGAGCATCTACGAATGTAGGCAGCGGGGGCCGGGGACGTGTTTATGGAGTGGTTCATCCTTTGCAAGTGGGGATTTGTATGGAATAATTCGGATTTGCTGACTTCATAGCTCAGGCTTCCTGGAGAGCTGCCAGTCCCCCCTGCTTTCTCTCTGTGCAGGAGTGCTGTAGCTGTTAATGCTAACCTTGTCTGCCTGCCACTTTACCCCAGATACTCCCTGCTCATCCTCCCACTCCTTCAAGCCCACTTCTGTTTACCTAAACTTTTAGAACTGCTCCTGAATTTTTAAGAAGAAAACTCAAACCTCTCTCAAAACACCAACCGGAGAACCGAGCAGGGAAGGCTTTCAGACGCTCGTATGTCCAGGATGCACCGAGGCATGCCCCACTCCTCCCAGTGATGCCCCAAGCGAGCCATTTTATGTAGACATTTCCTGAAGTCAGTTTCTTGGTGGATTTCAGGGGCTTTGTCCGTGCTACAGTTTCTGTGGGGAATAATGAAGCAGAACACCGTCCTTGCCCTCCATTAATATGTGATATATTTAGAATTCTCGGATGTATTTTTATAACCATTTAAGCCTAGTGAAGTTGGTGGGGGCCCTGTTGGTGTGGTCTCCTTTCATGTCACTTGGCCCAGAAAATGTGATGAAAGAAAGAGCTGTGTCTAGGAAGAGGAGGGAGTTTACTTAGGCTTGGCCAAACGAGACTTTTAGATCATTAGCTGCGTTAGGTAAATTCTTTGGGTTTGGGTTAGAGTATCATATACAGAGTGTCCCTTACCACTGGGTAACTAAAGCAGGACACCTGGGCTAGCCCAGATGCATCTTCTCTCCAGAGAAGAAACCACACCAGGAAGGGACATGGCCGTGGGATGCGCTTCAGCTTTAGCTCCTTAGATCCAGGCTTGCAAACGGAAATCTGCAAATCTCTCCAAGCATGTTCCATATAAACACGCGCCCTGGGGTATGAGTGCCTGGGCTGCTGGCCCTGGTGGAGCAAATGATTTGATGACTGAGTTATTAATTTAGAACTGCTTCCCTGTGAAGAAGTCACTACGCACACGTCCTCGCAAACTTTTGGTGTATCGATTAATTAAGCAAGGAATCAACACTAATTGAGTACTTTCTTGGTGTCACAGGGTAGGGTAATGAAATTGTATGACACAAACCATGGCTGCAGGGGCTTGTGGTCTCGGGGAGAGAGACAAGAGAGTGATCAGAAGAGGGTGTTCTGAGCAGTGTGTGTGGGGTCTCCAGGCAAGGAAGAGAGAAGGGTGGTGGCAGGGACTTTCTGAGGCGGTGACTTGGGACTGGCCCATCTGAGGGACAATAGCCTGTGCCCTGAGAGCAGACAGGGGCTTTGGGGGTATTTGTGAGTAGAGGAGGAAGTTTCTGTCGATTATGATGATGAGGTAATAGCTTATAGACGCTGTCCCTCTTGCCCAGATGCCAATCTTTGTGAATTAATGAGTATCTTAGCTTATTAGTTGTTCTTTTTTTTTTTTGTCTTAAAGAATTATCTAGATATCTTGGCATTTTTTTCTCTTCAGTATCTAGATAGGACATGAGGAAGTGGTTCTCCTGACATGGTTGACTGATACCATGCTTCATATTAAGTGGTTGATGGGTCCTTAGTATAAATCTCCTTATGGTAGGTGATTCTAAGATAATTTGAAAAGCATTCTGTGGGTTTATTTAGAATGTTGTTTTATATAGTCACACTCTTCTCTTGGCTTCACTTTCTCTGGTCTGGGTTTGGTTTCAAGATTAGATCGGTTGCATAAACAGGGCTGGCAGGCTTTCATGTATTCTATGTTCTGATGTCATTTGCGAAAAACAATCTATTCCTTATTTAAAACTGTGTATCTAAAGACTACTAAAGTCTGTTGCCTCTAGGAGGTGGATTTTTGGTAACTTGCCAACTTTCTCCACAGGTTTTGGCTAATGCCTATGATATGTGTTTACTTGGATAACAAACAGTTTTTGGGAAAGGAATTAAAAATAATATGCCTTTATATCTTTTTTCTGGTTTTATTTCTGTTGCTACAGTGAGATACCCTGAGAAAAAGCAACTTAAAGGAATAAAGAAGATACTTAGCTTGTAGTTACAGGTTACCATTCAACATTGTGTGGAGAGGGGAGTCAGTTTAAAACCTTGTGTCCAGAATTGAAAGTATGTATCCACCTTCACAATCCAGAGCAGAGAGATATGGGTGCTGACGTGCTGACTTGCTTGCACTCAGCTCGGCTCTTAACAGCTCAGGACTCTCTGCCTAGGGAATGGTGCCATCCACAGTGGGCAGGGTCTTCCAATGTTAGCCAGTTTAACTAAGACGATTCCTCCTAGAGATGCTCACAGGCAGTGTAAACCATCCTTCTTTAAGACTCACTTTTCAGAAGCTCACACACCAAAGAGTCATAGCCTTTAACCTTTTGTCCATGACCTTTTCTGCTTCTGTTGTGGTTAAGTCTGCTTTTGTGTCTTTAACTCAGGTGACCAGAAGTGCGAGTTTGGGCGCAGGTCTCTGAGCCCTCTTCAGGACTCAGATGGACTCTCTAGTTGAACAACACTTACTTCTTAAATTATTCACTTTAGCCTCTCTTACATTTGCTTGCTTTTCAGATTGAGGGCTCAGTTAATTTAATTTTATTTGTTCTTTTTATCCTGAAGGAACTGAAATGTAATTATTCCAACAAGAGCCATCTTGGCCTATCCCAAAGAATTGAAAGTAACAGCTTTAACATTAGAAATGTATTAAATTTGTTAGTTTTTTTTAAACGGGTATGATTTAGGACCATAAAATCTACAAAATGCTTTTCATATTATTTTAGGAGAGCTAGCCACCACAATTATCTTCATATAAGGGGTCCATTTGACATGAAATATTATATTAATGTAACACACTGTGTCCAGTAGGACATTGAGACACCCACCCATCTGAGCCAGAATGCCCCCAGAATTGTTTCTTCTCACCCTCTCCATATATTGAAGAATGTATTTACTTTCTGTGTAATGGTTCTAATTCTCTAAACCGTTTGAAATACCATTGTTTCATTTGGTGTGGTGGCACTTAGAAATACTATGTTGTCTTCCTTTTTGATTCTATATTCATTTTGAAACAAAATTTTGACCTTTGTCCTGTTTAATACTCCATCCAGCACTAAAATTTGTTAGAAATAAATACAGCTACACTTTCCATCTACTTTTTAAAATCAAAAGATTCTCTACTTAATAAAATAGAAGATATTAATATTAAAAATTAAATTTTTAATTTGCTTATTAAATATTTTCCTGGTCTTTTATGTTCAGTTACCTTGTAAATACAGCTCTGTTGAATGTTCAGACACTTGTTCTATCACCTCTAATGTTTGTGTTTTCCAGAATACTTGAGTTTTTTTTAAAGAGCTTTGCTTCTTTCTAATTGTTTTTTATTATTTTTTTTTGTGCTTCTACCTTCTTAGGTGGTTAAATTCACATATTCTAGTTTGACTACCCAGTGGCTCTTTACACTTATAAAAATATCATAAAACTCATATTTTATATAGTCAAAATCGAGAATGGGGTCATCTTAACAAGCTTTTCTATAGCAAGAAAGCAGTAAGACGTTTATACTCCCCTACTTTCACTTTTGAGATTTAAAAATATAAAATGGAGATTTTGGTCAGTATTTTTTAGATGATTTTCTTGGCCTGAATTTTTTTCTCCTGGGGCTGGGGCCTTGGGCTTGCTTGTCAAGTGTCCTGCCTCTCATGTAACTCCTAGTCCTTACAGTGGAATTTCATGTTATTAATATAGACTATTCAGTGTTTATAACCTGTCCCTTTGGATAACAAAGCTAGTAGTAGTAGTAGTAGTAGTAGTAGTAGTAGTAGTAATAGTATTGTATCTTTTTTTTTCTACCTAATGGCTGTATGAATTTGAAGTGTCAATGGAAGAGGCTAATCTTTTAAAACTTTTTGTTTTATTTAGTGGTGGTGGTGGTGGTGGTAGTGTGTGTGTGTGTGTGTGTATGTCTCTGTGTGTGTGTGTGTGTGATGTGTCTGTGTCTATGGGGTGTAGGTGCATGTGTGCCATGGCGTGCCCGGAGGTCAGAGGACAATGTCCTCTTGGTTTTCAGTGTGACTGCAGGGACAGCCAATTCGGCAGCTCCATTGTCTGGTGGGAGGGCAGATCCCGTCCGCTCCTCTTGGCTTGAGGAGTTCTCAGTGAAGGCTCGGTGGGGGCTTCCCTCACCGCTTAAGTCCGCACCGTGGTGCATAGACTTTCTCCTTCTCGTATCTGTTGGTGATGGGATCCCTGAAGCTTTCACTAATTGCTTCATTATATCAAAGTTTTTCTTTGGGCTTCCCTAGGGTGGGCTTCTCCTCAGGAATTCATGGTGTGGGCTCTGGGCATCCTTGTGTGTCTCCTCACTCCTCATTTATCTTAGTCATTCTGCTTCCCCTCCAAACCTTGGCTCCCTCTTCCACGTGCTCCTCCCCCCCCCCTTCACGGATACAGGCAGACGTTTAATTAGGACTGTAAACACATTTTCCTCGTTGTTCTTCCTGGCCTCACCAGCAACATCTAAGCTTCCGTCACCCAATTTGCATTTTGCCCCTGGTTCTTGCTCCCATCTCTTAGCTGTGCTGTAGACTTTCCTGACAGCTGGTAGATCCCTGAAGAGGCCTGTCCCTCCACCCCACCTCCCGGTGGCGAGGCTCTTGCTCACCTCAGCCTTGGTGCTGGCCCTCCTTCCTGTGGTCACCCCCTCCCACGCCACTCCGCCACTCCGTTAATTAGCTTCCTCCTGGAGATAAACCCGAAGGCTGGGCTCTAAGGGGATTATAACTGCCTAAAACCCAGCCCCCTCACAGCCTGGGCCTGGTGGAGCTGGTTTGGGGACAGACAGACCAGAGTGCCCAGGGCAGAGGCAGACCGGGCTCTGGAGAGGCCAGGGTCTGACTTAACCCTATAACTCAAACCGCCTCCTTCCTTACCCTGAGAGCAGTCTCTACAGCAGCGGGGGCTTACGAGTGCACAATTCTGAGTCCTTTCCCCACCTCTAACCAGACACTAGGAGACCATTCTAACCCAGAGAAAGGTACCGTTTATCAAAGTGCTTTTCACCGCGCCTCCCTTGCACACTAGCCCTTGATGATGACGGCGATGACGCTCAGGGATTCAGAACTGTCGATAAAGCTCTGCTGCGTTTGCACGGGGCAGTGCATGCTCTGCAGCATGTGATCCCAGCCCTGCAGCTGTGTGTGTGTGTGTGTGTGTGTGTGTGTGTGTGTGTGTGTGTGTGTGATTCCAGTACTACAGCAGGGTGTTTTTGTCATCCAGGACCCACAACAGTGCATTTATGTGATCCCAGTCCTGCAGTAGTTTATGCAGATAGCACTGTAAGACAGGAGGGTTAGGAGTGCAAGGCTATCTTCAGAGCCATAGTGAGTTTAGCTGGGTTACAGTAGACTTTGCTTCAAAAAACCCAGAAAAAGATGATGATGATAATAGTATTATTATTATTATCTATGGGCGCTACAGGGAGCACAAGGCTAACTGTGAGATAGCATTCCTGGATGGAGTGAGGTTCGACAGCTTGCCTTGCTTCCTGACTTGTCTTGCAGGAAGAAATGACAGCAGGTGGGTGTGAGTTATTATAAAGTAAGCCTGGCTTGGGACAGAAATCTCTGCCACCCCATGCAACTCTTCATGCCTGTTTCCCAACCTGCGCAGGAGGAGGCCGAGCTGAGAGAGCTCTTCAGTCCTGTCGCCCCTAGCCTTGCAGCAGCTCTGTCTTTGCCAGGAGAAGAGGTGAAAGTCCTCCTCCTCCCCTGCTTAGTCAGGCCTGAGGCAAGAAGATGAAGCTGCTGGGTGACAGGGATGGGATGAATTGCCATGGGTGCCTGAGGCTTGGTGGGAGGTGGCAGTACGGGTGGCCAGAGTCAGACCTGCATTACTGTGATCAGTTTATTGGCTGATTGAGAAGAAGGAGGAGGGGGAGGAGTAGGAAAAGGAGGAAGGCCAGGAGAAGGAGCGGAGGCAGGGCAGGGGGGGGCTGCCTACTGTGTGGACTTTATGCTGAAGTGTGACTATCGCCTGTATGTTGGGAGCTTCTAGAGCAAGGAGAGAATGGGAAATGTAGGGAAGGCAACAAATCCCAGAATGCTGTAGTAACAAATCAATCATTATTGGTGGAAATGACCGGAAGCAGCGCCATGCCATTCTGCTTGGGCTTGCAGTCACGGGAGGTTCCCTGATGTGCCCAGATGTGGGAGAGGTGCTGGCCTGCCTGTCCTGTTCCCTTCCCCAATCTGCAATCCCTTGTTCCTGGGACTTTCGGAGGTACCCAGGCATCAGTCTCTTCTCCTGAAAGAAGAGCTAACAACTCTCTATGATACATTGTGAGACGAGGCGGATGAAAATGTATTTGTCATATTGTGGGAACTTCACTAGCATATGTTGTGAACACTGTCCAGTCATCATCATCATTATGATCATAGCCATCATATAATTATATACTCAAAGCCACCACCACCACCATCATAATCATCATCGTCATCATCATAATCATCACCATCATCACTGTCATCATTACCATCTCCCCATCATCATCACTACCATCATCATCATCATCTTTGCCATCACCATCATCATCATTGCCATCATCATCATCACCGTCATCGTACCTGTATTGATTGGAGCGTGTTTCCCAGGACACTTGACTCCCTATTAGCAGTGAAACTTGAGAGTCCACGAGTAGTGGTCCACAATGGCTCTGAGACAGGTCCTCTGGCTCTGGCTCTGAAAGTTACCCCCATGTGCGACCTTCACGCCAAGCTGTGCCTTCTCCACTGAGTCTGTCACTGTCAGACAGATTGCAGATGTAAACACATCATTTCACCCTTCGGATTAAAAACTAATTGCATTATTTTAGATGATCACACATAGGCATGCAGTGCATTTGGATCACCTTACTCTCCACCTCTCCAGCAGCTCGTTAATGCCTATCCTAACCACAAACATCTTTTTGACATTCACGACTGTTCTTTTTGTTTGTTGACCCTTTCAGGTTAAGTGGGACTGTCTGTGTGACCATGAGTTTTGAGCTATCTGTTGGAGTGTAGACAATGAAAGACATAGACTCCCCCTCTCCCAGCTTCTCTCAAGAGCCAATAGGTCATAGGTAAAGGGTAGGGCCCCAGGAGCCCCTCCCTGACTTACAGTGCTGGGCCTGTTTTGGTCACTGTGGCTAATAATTGCAATTGCTGAGTTGAGCCCAGAGACTGGATTTGTAATGGAGATGGAACAGGACTGTTATAAAGAGTAGGGGTCAACTAATAAAGATGTGTGGACCAAGCCGAGCCTCTGCCTATTTTATAGATCTAGTTTTATCAGGACCCAGTCATGCTTGGTTAGTCTTGCTTCATCTATGGCTGCTTTTACCATAAAGGCTGGATGGGGAAGTCTAAGGCAGTGTCCAGCCTTTTAGAGCTCATTTCTCCCTGTTTTAAAGGATTTACAAGCATTGCAGATGACCAACCATAGGAAGATGAGTAGCCTTCAAAGCAGTGGATTAGAAGCTGGCACACAGACAGGAGATAGAACAGACACCTGGAGGCAGCTTCTTACCCGATACCAGTGGCTTATACCGCAAACCTGACAGGACCCAGAGTCACCTGGGAGACGGCCCTCTGAGTGTGTCTTTGAGGAAGTTTCTAGGTGGGGTTAACTGAAATGGTAAGACCCACCTTAACCGTGGGCGGCACCATCCCTTCTCCAGGTGAATAGAATGAGAGCAATCCCAGAGCCAGCATCCATCTCTGGTTCCTGACTGTGGGTGCAAGGTGACCAGATTCTTTTTTTATTTGAATTAGGAACAAGCTTGCTTTACATGTCAATCCCAGTTCCCTCTCCCTCCCCTCCTCCCCTGCCCTCCACCAACCCCCTACCCCATCCACTTTCTGCTCCCCAGGGAGGGTGAGACCTTCCATGGGGATCTTCAAAGGCTGTCATATCATTTGGAGCAGGGCCTAGGCCCTCCCCCATGTGTCTAGGCTGAGAGACTATCCCTCTATGTGGAATGGGCTCCCAGAGTCCATTTGTATACTAGGGATAAATACTGATATACTGCCAGAGGCTCCATAGATTGCCCAGACCTCCTAACTGACACCCACATTCAGGGGGTCTAGGTTGGTCCTATGCTGGTTTCCCAGCTATCAGTCTGGAGTCCATGAGCTCCCCCCTTGTTCAGGTCAGCTGTTTCTATGGGTTTTTCTAGCCTGGTCTTGACCCCTTTACTCATTACTCCTCCCTCTCTGCAACCGGACTCTAGGCATTCAGCTCAGTGTCCAACTATGGGTGTCTGCTTCTGCTTCCATCAGCTACTGGATGAAGGCTCTAGGATGGCATGTAAGGTAGTCATCAATCTCATTATAGGGGAAAGGCATTTAAGGTACCCTCTCCACTATTGCTTAGATTCTTAGTTGGGGTCATCCTTGCCGATCTCCAGACATTTCCCTAGTGCCAGATTTCTCTTTAAACCTATAATGGCTCCCTCTATTATGGTATCTCTTCTTGCTCTCCTCTATTCTTCTCCTGACTTGATCTTCCTGCAATCTAATGTCCTCCTCTCCCCTCCTGTTCTCCCCTTCTCTTTCTCCTAACTCCCTTTCCCCCATATTCCCAATCTGCTCAGGAGATCTTGCCCCTTTCCTCCTTTCTGGGGGACCATGTATGTCTCTCTTAGGGTCCTCCCTGTTTCCCAGCATCTCTGGTGGCATGGATTGCAGGCTGGTAATCCTTTACTCTATGTCTAAAATCCATCCATATATGAGTGAGTATATACCATATTTGTCTTTTTGTGACTGGGTTACCTCACTCAGGATGGTTTCTTCTAGTTCCATCCATTTGCCTGCAAATTTCAAGATTCCATTGTTTTTTTGTTTCTGCTGAATATACTCCATTGTGTAAATGTACCACATTTTCTCTATCCACTCTTCAGTTGAGGGGCATCCAGGTTGATTCCAGGTTCTGGCTATTAAAATAATGCTGATATGAACATAGTTGAACAGATGTCCTTGTTGTATGAATGTGCATCTTTTGGGTATATGCCTAAAAATGGAATTGCTGTGTCTTGTGGTAGACTGATTCCCATTTTCCTGAGGAACCACCATACTGATTTCCAAAGTGGCTGCATGAGTTTGCACTCCCTCCAGCAGTGAAGGAGTGTTCGTGTTCCCCTTTCTCCACATCCTCTCCAGCATAAACTGGGCGACCAGATTCTTTAAGCTCCTGCTTCTTCAACTTCCAGATCACAATGCACTGAAGAACCATGAACAAAAAAAAACTCGTTTCTTTATGTTGCTTTTGTCAGGCATTTTGTAGAAGCAAGGAGAAACAGACCAGAGATGCTGGTATTAGAATTGTTCTGGGTGGGAAAAAAAACAAAAGTCCAGCATTAACTCTTGACTGTTAAAAAACTTGTGATTTTTAGGCCCATAAGAAGGCCCTAAGGGACCCAGGAAAATGGGCCTCTGTAGAACCTGGGTCACCTGGAATGGTAAGCCTCAATCTGCTTCAGTGAGAGCTGCATTGGGGTTTCCACAAGAAGAGCTTGAACTTGTTTTCTAAAAGGTCCACTCTCCTGATGACCTTCAGGAACTTTTTATGTGATTAATTCTTACCTGACAGTCTTTAAAATATTTAAGTTACACTTTTATTTGTGTGTGAAAGGACACATGCATCACTGTGTACATAGAGAGGTCAGAAGACAACTTGCAGGAATTGTTTCTGTCCACCTGTCTTGTGGGTGTCAGGGACCAAAGTAACTCTGTCAGATTTGACAGCGGGCATCTTTACCTATGACCCATCTTGCCAATCTTTTGTCCGTAAAGCACTTGCTCGAAATATTTTGCTGATTTAAAATATTGCATGAGTTGTCATCTTAGTATTGAATTTTTAAAAGTTGAGATACGATTGCCACACAGCAAGGATTGTGTGTTATTTTCACTAAGGCTTGCTAACAAGTCCGGTCGTTCCCTCGGTATAAAGTCCATACATTTTTGTGGTGATGTTTTGAAGTCTGATAATCGGGAGACTTTTGAGTGAAGCAGGTAACTCTTCATGGTGTGCGTGGGCCTCACCAACAGCAATTGAAGACCTCAAGAGCAAAGACAGCTTCCTCCCTGTGCCCAACGACAGCAGCAACAGCAGCAACAGCAAAGAACCTTGTACCCTACAAGACTGCAGTTTAGAGACCCTGCCTGGGGTTCCTGTCTAATTTAAGCACTCTGTAAAGCTTGAACTTAACACTGCAACATGGAATCTTCTCCACATGCCCCAGACTGTGCCACAGAGTTTGTACATGCCAGGTCCAACAACTGTGCAGGCCATCCATAGAATAAATTCCTGTCACCATCCCCATCATCTAAGTCTCTCACATTTTGTCTCTTTGTGGAACCCTTACGCACAGCCCATAAAATTAACCCATCTCTAGGTGATTTAAAACCGGCAAGCAAGCACAAAACCATCAAAGTTTCTTGAAGACAGACGGAAGAAATACCTAAAGCCAATGACAACAAGCTCCTAACATACCCTGAGGACAGTTTTTGATGGAAGCTCACTCATGGAAGTCCCAGAGGGAGGCCCTGAATGGGGAATCGCACAAAGCTGCTGAGTGACCTGAACTTGCGTGTGCATTAGTAGACTCTGACTTGCTCATGCTGGTACATGGCATACTGCCTGCCTCCTCCTCGATGCTCATACGTCTTTGAGAATGGATGGATGGATGGATGAATGAATGAATGAATGAGTGAATTAATGAGAGAAGATGAGAATTCGATGCTTCCTGGTCTGTCAGTGCCCTGGCAACACAGCAGGATGAAGCCATGTTTTGGCTTACATAACAGCATTTTCCTCCCCGGTATTCATCTGTGACTCCCCGAGTTCCTATTAGAAATGGAGGCTTTTCCAGCCATGTTGCAGAATTTACACAGCTTTCACAGGAGCTGTGGGTTAATACACTCAGTACACAGGCTTTTCTATGCGGAAGTCTTAGTACCACCCACTTCTGAGTTCATCACTGGTCGGCTGAGTTGGTCCAGACCTAAGTTCACCACAACCCCAGGCTCAACTAATATAAAATTGGGAGTGTGGGAGGTAGTAGTTTGGGTCCTACAGTCTGCTCCTCCCTGAGGCTAGACCGTGCCACCAAAGTCATCGCCAACATGATAAAAGGATGGACCTATTATTTCCTTGGTGGATAACTTCACATTCTATGCTCCGTCAGAGGCGTTAGGGAAGTATAAGGCAATGTATAGTAACGGTAAATTACGCACCATGATTATAGCAGCATGGTGCACCACAGCTAAAAGGTAGAAGAAAAGTAGATGCCTCTCCCGGAAAACAAAATGTGGCGCCTACGTGAAATGAGAGATCATCCAGCCCCCAAAGGGAGGAGAGACACCGGGCCTGGGGGATGCTGTGCTAATGAACCAAGCCAGCAGCAAAAAGGCCAGGGCTGGACGATTGCACAACAGGAGGCCCTTGGAGTAGCTGAGCTCATAGGGACAGACAGCAATATGGTGGTTGCTGGGGACTTGGGGCAGAGGGGATGGGGGTGTTGTTCAGAGGGGATGAAGTTGGACTTATCTAAGATTAAGAAGAGTCCTGGAAAGGGTAGCATGGGAATGTGACTGATTGCACTTAACATTACTGAACTTGGAGTGGTAAAGATAATAGCTCACTCATATTTCAACACAGTTCGAAGGAAAAGAACTTTAGAAAGAAACTGAGCAGTGATGAAGCTAACAGTAATGAAGCTGTCCCTTATTGTATGTTACTGGGGGCCAGACATTTGGGAAACATCTCTGAGTTAATTTTATGAGCTAAGTATGTCTGTGAGCTCAGGCTTCTGATGGGTTGTGAAGGGCCAAAGCAGGTAAATAATTTGGCCAACATACGCAGTTCCCCCAGCATCCGGGCTATCTTCATGTCGAGGTCTGTATGAAAACCATGGGTGCCTAGCTTTTTTTAATAAAAAAAAAGATTTAAGAGAAATACCACAGCCAGGGCTAGGGTTTTTGGGGAGTTGGGGGACTTGCCTTGAACACAAAATCTGAGGGGCACTAGAGAGCTTGGTAATCACGGCATATGATCATGTTCTATTAAGAAGCCACAAAAATCCAAGATGAACAAAATTCCAAATAAAGGCAGGATTGCCAATGGACAAGGGCGGGGCCACACACAGAGTGGAGCTCACGAAGGAGTTACTGGTCACTCTTCAGACCACTTTGCACCGCTGACCGGACCATAAGGCAGGCCTTGCCAAGCACCGAGACATGATGAGATGTTTATAACATCTAATAAGTGCAGGAGCAAGAAGAGGAAGAACCTTGGCAACTCCTGGAGAGGGACATTGAGCACAGCCACCAGGAAGTCTGTCTGAAGGAGCTCACGTTTAGGAAACCTTGGCATGGCATCCAGGAGGCCTAATTTCTAGAGAGATTTATGCCCTTGATTGCAGAGACTAAAGCTCCCATAGGTAGTGTTCTTTGTGTTAAGACCACACTAATCAACCTCCACAGAGGGCCTGGGGTGTACAAGCATCACCCACCGAGGCCCCGCCCTTTCATGAGAAGGGAGCCAGCCTCCCCGCCTCTGAGTTATCTTCAGCAAAAGTATAATGCCTGCTTGGTTGACGTCCCTGAGCTTTGTGAGACTCTCAGGAGATAATGGTTGCGAAAGCGCTTTACAAAATGTGGTGATCCACAAAGTTCGCCATTGTTACTTGGAGGTGGGTTCTGGCTGTTGTTGTTTTGAAAGAGCGGAGAACCAGCGCGAACATCCTCCTTGTAGACTGCGTCATGCAGGGCTTTTCTGTGAGGTGCTATGTTTGTGTGGGTGGCTAGCGGGTGTGACTGACTCGTGATCTTTTCCTGGTACACGTGTCACTGAGTCCCACACACAGCAGGCTACACATTGATGCAACCTTGGGCTAAGATTATGACACTGGGAGTCGGCAGGAGGTTCCAGCTGCTAGGTGCATTGCGGAGGGGACTGTCTCGACATTTGGATGGGGGGGGTTTGGAGATGGCAAATGTGGAAGACAAGAACTATGTTTACAAGTTGAATGACAGAGAGATAAAAAAAAACCTTCCTGGCTGGGTCTAACTTTTGGTTGAGATTTGAGCCGGTTCTGGGTACCCAGGAAGTAGGGGATCACCTGGCAAGAGCTGACATCACAAGGAAGATGGACAGTCCTTGGTGGACAACTCAGAGGTCTGTTCGTCCGCTTCCATGAAGAAAGACACACCTAAGTAGCATCTTTTAGGGACGACTGTAAGGATCTGTGTTTTAGAAGTGCACAGTGTCTCTCCTAACATGTCAAAGCACTTTCAGTAATTACAGATAAATGTGCTTATGACAAAATAAGACCTCAGAGAAACGGCTCACGCACTCTAAGCCCCTGGAGCTTGTTTTTTAAAAGCTCTACCTGACCAAAATGTTAGGAAACAGTTCTTGTGTTGAAGGAGCAACATGGAGCGATCTTCCCGAGATAGCCCCGTGACCTTGAAGACTGAGCCAGACGATATGATCTTGAGTGGATTACAGTTGGGCTTTGGAAGCACTTGGCAGGGAAGTGGTGTTTTGCTTTCAATTGGTCTGTAAATTACATCACGCTTCTGGTTTCCCCTCCCCTGTAAAGCAGAGCTTTAGGGTTTGGCGGCCCCACCCAGATTCCAACACTGACCAAGCTTTTGTGTTAAGTTCAGAGTGGGAGATGGTTTGGACAAGTATTTCATGCCCTTTGATGGGAAGGGGAAGGGTTGTCTTAGGAATGAGTGTGTGTGTGTGCGTGTGTGTGTGCATGTGTGTGTGTGTATGCGTGCCCACACTTGCATGAGTGCATATGCCCACCAGCATGGGTCTCCTAGACTTCTATTTGTTGCTGCATTAACCTGCTCATTAAAGGGATTGCATTTCATTGCATCAAGTTGCTGGTTAAAAGAATAAAAGTGGCCCTTAATTTTCTTAGCAGCAGTCACAGGACGGAGATGACACACCTGCAGATGGACACGGCGAACAATTCAGGGTCACACTCCTCTTCCAGCCCATCCCATAATATGTCCCCTTAACTACTTTGGCTGGGCTTTGTCCTGTGCATTAGGTAAGGCGGGCTTGACACTCCTGTTAGGATAGAAGGGCCTCTTCTAGGATTTCGTTTGTGTGGGATTGCAGAGAGGGGCCTTAAAGAGAACCCCTGCAATTGAGGACAAAAGATATCAACCATGATTCAGAAGAGGGGTTTGAGAAGAAAGTGCCACGGAGATGGGAGGGGCTCAGAGAAGGGAAGAACATACTGTCCTTGTGGCCTAAACATGACAAGGGCTTTTCGAAGCCTTAGACTAGTGGGACAAAGGATTATTTGGGACCATGATCTGGGGGGGGGGTACCACATAAGAAGTCTCATAGTTCTTGGTGGATTCTCAGCCTTCGAATTCCCATAATGCCATGGTTAGCCCGAGCCCCAGTCTCTTTTCCTCCCATCTTCCTGGGTTTAGCCATTTGTGTGACTGAAGTTGATTGGGGTGAGTTTCACAATAATCATATTCAGTGGGTTTTTGTAAGCAGGAAGAACAATCTATCGTAAAGTTGGCCACCTTCCACGTTTGTCTTTTAGACATGATCAGTTCCTTTGTTGGTCTGTCATGGTTAAAGTTATTTTGACTGGGAGGGATATGAATCAATAGCAAACCCCAAACAATTCACTGTGAGCCTGTCTTAATCGCAAGGCTAAAACACAGGAGAAGACCACTTCTCCCCCGTCAGAATGGCTCTGTTTGGATGAGTGGTTTACATGAATGGAATGACTCAACTGAGCTTATGCCGGAAGCTGTGAGTTAAGCTCTGTCACTGGATCCGTCTGTGAGGAGTCCATTATTCCTAACATATTATTTGTAAAGTTTTGTCCACATGTAACACAAGTTTTATCTTCTTTTGTCCTGGTTTGCTTTGTGCTTAACAGAAGGTTTGAGGACATTCAATGGGTGCCAAAGCACTAGTTATGTCCCTTGTCACAAGCACGGTATGACTGGTTCCGTCAGGCGAGAGGCAGACCGTACAGGACATCCCAGGAAACGATATACTTTATACATTTATGACAAGTGTATCTTTAGGGGTACCAGAGAGTAGTGTAGCAACGTGGTCCAGATACATTACCTGTCCAAGGAGGGGAGCCGAATTTTTTACTTGGACCTCATCACTGTGGCCAAGGTGCCTGGTCACAGAAGCAACCCCAGGAAGAGTTTATGCTGGTTCACAGCTTGCGGGACACAGTCCATCGTGGCGGGGAAGACACGGCTGCAGGAGCATCTGGTCACTTTCCGTTGGGAAGACAGGAGCAGTAAGTGCTGATGGTTGGCTCTCCTTCTCCTTTGTACTCGGTCTAGGACAGCGGCCCAGAGTGCCCTTATCGTCACTGAGGGTGGGTCTCTCCCTACCTCAGTTAGCTCAGCTAGAAGCTCCCTAACAGACACACCCGTGTGTGTCTCCATGGTGATTCTAGATCCCACCAAGCCGCAATCAAGATTAACCCTGTGTTGTTCTGCCTTGTTCTCCGTGGCTCTCAAGTCTCTTGAGAGACATCTAATTCATGACAGGTGGGTCACACACAGTCATCTCAGAGAAACAGGTGGTTTTCTCTGTGTGGCTTTGGAGGCTGTCCTGGAACTCATCAGGCTGGTCTATAACTCATAGAAATCTGCCTGCCTCTGCCTCCCGAGTGCTGGGATTAAAGGCATGCGCCACCACCACCACAGCCAGGCTGAATTCTGTACTGCTTAAGAATAATAATAATACTCAATGTTTGTTTCAGTCTCTCCATAGTGAGTTGAATCCAGTGCACCTTACTTCTGAGGCAGCTTCAGAAATGAATTTCTGGTTAAGTAGGTTGATGAGGGAGAAGCTGCTACAACACAGGCAGCCTCTCTCTCTCTCTCTCTTTCTCGTGTTGGAGCTCAGGACTATTGACTTAAGAAGGCGTGTTAGTTCAAATTGTTGCTCATCTGTCCCTCCTGGTCTGCGTGAGGCATACTCTATGAAGTGCCGTTGGGAGGGTGCCAGGACTTGCTGGCATTTCAGAACTGACAGGTTAGGTGCTGAGGTAGACAGTGAACTTGGAAAGCCTTTGAGTGACCTGTGACACAAGGTCTCCAGTTGTCCTCTGGCTGAACCCTGGCACTCTGGGAGCAGCACCAGACCCTTCCAAATTGGTTAACTGACAGATACATCTTAAGCTCATTTTATTTTCTATTCAATTGACAGCGTGAAGAGGAGATTCTAGGTTGGGGGGAGGGGGACAGTTATACGTTGGTTCCTTAAGAGCGAGCCAAAACTTTTGAATTGAAAATAATATTAATTCTTGGTGTGTGTGGGGGGCGGGGTGGTGAAGATGTCTTGCAGGAGTTAGTTTTCTCATTCTACCAGTTACATCTCGGGAGGACAGGACTCAGGCTGTCAAGCTTGCGGGAGAGCACCTTTACCCACTGAGTCATCTTAGCAGCCCAAATATTTTGAAAAAGGAAACAACGGGAAAGAGGAAAAACGATGTAGACGCGTAGCTCACACAGAGTTGCGGAAGTCACATACGTGGCCAAGGCCGGGGTGGTTTCTGGAAAGGCACACACTGACTGACACAGAAGGGGGGAGGCTCTGCTGACCACGGGCTGAGAGGGTGACCCTTTAAAAAGCCACCATGGGCCCTGCTGACCAAACGTGTTAGCAAACTTCAGCCGGAACGACCATCAGCCGGTCGGTCGGTGCACCTCACCATGCCCCGTCCCTCGGCTCTAGGCTGCCCTTTACCCTACTGATGTGTAGGTTAATTCCATGGTAACCACACATGCTTCCTGTGGAACGTGGAGCTACGCAAACTCCTAGCTTGCTTTTGATGACAGGAACAGCTTTCCCGAGGACCCACACCCACAGCTGGGTTTCCCAGCTAGACCTGGGGGCCATTTCTAGTTTCTCTATGCAGACTTCCAGGGGCGTGTCCACTGGGACCTGACCCATTAAGCGTTTCCATGTCGTTGTGTTGGTGTACATCCTCCAGGGTGGTTACCAGCGTCCTGTATTTCCTAAGCTTTCAAGTTTTCTAATGCTAACAATTTACTTAAAGGAGTCACCAGGCACCATGAAATTAAAGAAGAACTATTTTAATCAAATTAGGAGCATTTTAAAAAAGATTTATTTGTCTATATTTAAAAAGATTTGTTTATATTATGTGTATGGCGTTTTTTGCCTGCATGAGTGTCTGTGCACCGTGGTGTGCAGGGCGCCCACAGAGGCCAGAAGAGGGCACTGGGACCTCCTAGAACTGGAGTAACAGATGGTTGTGAGTGCTGGGAACTGAACCAGGGTCCTCTGCTATTGTTCTTAATCACTGAGACATCTCTCCAGGTCCCTCTCCTTCTATTGAAGTGTACAGAAAAGGGCCTGTATCTCAAGTGTACTGCTCAAGAGAGAAACTGTGGCCACATCTGGGGCCCCCAACTCCCCCCACCCCATTCTTTCCTGTGTGCCCATTGGCCTCTCCCGACACAACTAATCCTTGACACAGAGCAGCTGGCTCCAATTCTGCTTTTGTACTTTTGTATACAGATGGAGTCACACAGGGGTTTACCTGTGTTTAGCATCATCTGTTTGAGGTTGTGTGTGCGAGGTTCTTGGTCTCTCTCCCTGTTGCACGGCAGGCAGCCTCCCTGTCTCCGTTGCTGTCCATGCTTTTACCCAGTGACCATACCATGCACTCACGCGGTGCTCAGATGCTTGTATTCTGGCGGCTTCTGCTGTTGGTTTATTCTGAGGGTGCAGCTGTGGGAATTCTTGTTCACTGCTCTGCTTTTGCTAGATACACTTTGGAATTCAGTTCCTGGGTGTGAGATATGTGAACTCCTAGCTTCAGCCCCGTGGATCTAAAGGTGTCAAGAGTCAGAATGACCTGAGGGACTTGTGACAAGACAGACAGCCAGAACTCACCTGACACTGATTGGGCATGTCAAAGGTGGGATCCGGGGTTCACACCGTGAACATTTCCTATCTGCTGTCCACATCGAGGCTTTCTGATTAATAAGGACTACAAGGTGTTTTTACCGGTTTATAGCCCTCTGCTGTGTATCCTCCCTCCCTCCCTCCCTCCTTCCTTCCTTCTTTCCCATGAAGGAACTCATGCCTTTCCTGGTCATATTTTTCTAGTAAAATTGAGCTCTTTTCCCCATTTTTTTTCCTGTTAAGTTGCCTTATTATTGATTCTGTGAACTCTTTATATGTTATGGGTATCAGTCATTTGTTGAGGTTGTGTGTTACAAACCTCTTTTTGTGTACTTTGGGTTATATTTTTATTATTTTAATACTTAATTTTGATAGAATGTTTTATTATTATTATTATTTAATTCTAGGGCCAGAGGTTACTGTGCTCAGGACTGTGAAAATCTCCTGAAGGCTCATATATTGAAATCTTAGTGACTGCTGGGCCTATCTGACAGTGACAGTCTTTGTGAGTTGGGCCTGATGGGAGGAAGTTAGGTCTTTGGACACGTGCTCTCTTTTTTTTTTTTTTTTTTTCGAGACAGGGTTTCTCTGTATTGTTTTGGAGGCTGTCCTGGAACTCGCTCTGTAGACCAGGCTGGCCTTGAACTCACAGAGATCCGCCTGCCTCTGCCTCCCGAGTGCTGGGATTAAAGGCGTGCGCCACCAACGCCCAGCTGTGGACATGAGCTCTTAAAGCTGCTGTCGGGTTCCTGTTGACCCCTCTTCTCTTTGCTCTCTGGCAACTACGAGACAGGCGGCTTCCTCTGACGTCACTTACTACAGGCCTGAAGTGATAGGGCCAGATGGCTGCGGATTGAGACTTCCGAAGCTACGAGCTAAGAGAAACCTTTATTCTCGTTAAGTTGATCTGTCTCAGATATTTGTTCCGGTAACAGGAGCACAGGGGGCTTCTGTCATTAAAAAAAAAAAAGTCTGCCTCATCTAGGATGATGAAGATGCTGTCTGTGTGTTAGCTTTCATTTTTCTCTCCTGTATTTCAGTTTGAAAATCATCCAGGATTAATTTTAGTTTTGTAGCTAGAGTTTGGGTAAGAGCTTCTCACATGCTAAAGCAATAGCCCTTAGTACGTTACTAAAATTCACTTACTGCATTCAGAATTTTTAAAAGTGATCAAAGCCATCCATGAACTCATGGACTGTTCCGGAGTGCTCTGGTCTGAGATTGGTGGGGAGTAACAACTGCTAGTGTTCGCCTCTCACTCAGGAGAGGCCTGCGCTCAGGTGAGTGAGCCAACCGTAAGACGATTGTGGACACTTTGTAGAAACACGAGACACCTGTTTCATGTTGTGCCCAAACTCACATTCCCAAATGGTTTCTGTTTAATTTGGGATAAAGTTATCTGTCCCGAGGATTGCTGCGGGCAGCACAATGCACTCTCTGTACTGTGGTTTTCCTGGAGACGGTGTCTGGTCTCTGTCTAGCTACTGGGAGTCTGAGCCCTCCTGAGGGCTCTCTTTTCCGGGGATCAACTGTGAGTTCCTGTGGTGGTGTTTTTTCTTTTTTTGCTTTAACCTACAAAACAGGTCTAGCCCTGGGCCGCTCCCCTCACTTCCTGAAGGGTTAGGAACAAAGCACTCTATGTTCAAGGGAACATTTTTGCCTCCCTGTCATCATCGTCCGTGATACACACCTCTGCAACAGGCTGGAAGACTTGATTTAAGCTACCACTTGGCCCTGCTGCTTCCCACAGCCGGCCTTCCTTGGCCGGCGATGTCTCCGCACAGCCAAGAAGGTCTCTCAGTCGTCAGAAGTCAGATTGCTGTATCCATTTGCCCGGAAGGGATGAAATATGACAGCAATTAGGTCAGGGAGAAGCAGTAAATACTTAGGAAGTTTGAAAAGTAGGGACTACGAGGTCCATGGCTCAGGTTCCCATTTACTTATTATTACCCACAAGCAGGCTGCTTCAAAAGCTGGGTTCCATGAGGACCGGCACTTGGCTTACAAATTGTGTGTCCCTTGGTCCCATTCCTGGACGCAGAGCAGTGTTTATGACATGGCAGCTGCCTAGTGGTATTTCTGCATAGAGAGCTGGAGAGTGCCAATCCCATGCTGGAGCTGGACTGAGTGGGGGCTTCCATCTTCCAGCGTCCCGGAGGCAGTGCCCGGATGTTCCCAGATGGGCTGTTTCCTACTCCCAGATGACGCAGATGTATTCAGCTGATGCACAGATGTACGCTGCTCTTTCCATTGAGCTTTGTGGGTACCGACAGACTGGCAGACTGGCTGACAGACTGACAGACGACTGTTTACTTTGGGAAACGACAGTGAGGTTGTAATGATGAGTTTTAGAAAAAAAATTATGAGCATCTTGGAGAATTCTAGAAGTTCCACCCTGAGGTAGTTGGCATCAGATAACTTTGATATTATCTCTTTGAAATTGGCAATAAGCAGATTACTCTCCTTTGATAACAAGAGCG